ATATATCTCTATCTATCTATACCGCCGCCTTTCTTCCTTCCTTCCTTCCTTTTTTTCCAATGCAGTCCGGTTTATAAGACGCTTTCCAAGAAAACACCCCCCCATGCGATTTTCCCACCCCGAGCTTTCTCTTTTTTTCCTGGCCAGCCCGGCGGGGGGGGGGAGGAGAGGGAGGGAGGGAGGGGAGGTGGCGTGCAGAGAGAATGGAGGGGAGCGGGGCGATGCTTTCTTTCTCCTCCCCCCCCCGAGTTTTTCGCTGGCCACAATGCCCGGCGATGGCACCGTTTCTTTAAGGAGCCCCTCCCAGCCACCACTCAGCGTTTTTTTTTTTCTTTCTTCTCCCCCCTCCCTCCTCCTCCTCCCCCTTCCTTTCTCTCTCCTTCTCTTCCTCCTCCTCCTCCTCCTCCTCTTCCTCCTTTCTTCTGTCTGAGCCTCTGCTGCAGCCAGACAACGCGGGGGGGGGAGAGAGAAAAAAGGAGGGGGGGAGGGAAAAAAAATCAGAGCGCCGCAGCGTTAAGAGTCCCAGAGCCGATACAGAGCGGGGGGGGGGGAGGAATAGAGGAGGGGCGGGGAGGGACGGAGTGCGCCCGCGCAAGCCATGACCGCTCCGCGAAGCCATTGGCGGAACCCAGGACCAAAGGGGCGGGCGCCAGGCCGCCTGCCCCGCCCCGGAGCGAAAAAGCTACTCTTCTTTGTTGTCTCCATTCGGGCGTCGGAGATCTCTTCCCGGCGCTTTGGCATCAGCCGTGCCGGTCTGCGGGGCGCAGGCCAGGGCAGGGACCCCTCCCGGTTCCCCAAAGGGGGAGAAGGCGGAGGGGCGAGCCCTCTTCCCTCCCGTCCCTTCCCCTCCCAAAGCCCCGCGATCTTTCCCCCCAAACGGGGGGGGGGAACAAGCATGCCGACACTGGGTAGCAGCAGAGGAAGGAAAGAGAATCAGGATCTCTCTCTTCCAAGCATCGACGGGGGGGGGGGAAGGTAATTCCAGGGAGAGGAGGAGGAAAGGGGGGGACTCAGGTGTCAAAGGTGCCGCGTGCGGGGAAAAGGTGACAAGCGCTGCCCTGCCCACCTACCCACCCACCCACCCGATCCTCTGCAGGCTTGGAAGGGGGGAGGAGAGCTCTACGGCGCCGGGGACCTTCCCAACCTCTCGATTACGCGCGTTAGGAGCATTCCCATAACCCCGGGGCACGGGAGGGAGGAGGGGAGGAGAGACTGGGTGGGAGCGGGCGTCCTGCGCGTCTTGAGTTTCTGCGCTGGGCACCGGGGAGACTTGGCCCAGGGTGCCAGGTCGGAGGGGCGTGTCCTCCTTCCGAGGCAGACCACGCCTCCTTCCCTGTCCATTCTTTCAGCCGCGCTTTTGTAAACTTCAGCCGCAGGGCCGTCAACAAAAAAAAACCCCGGGCTGGGCACGCGCGCCCCTGGGGCCCGTCCGTGTCGCCTCTCGCGCCTCCGTGCAAGCGTGTAACGTTACAGACTCGCCCCAAAAAGACGGCGAGGGAGGAAGAAGCCCTAGCAGGGGAAGAAGGAGCCAAGGGAGCCTATCTACCTAAAGCAGCCCGGCCACCCACCCACCCTTGACAATCGACGGCCAGCCCAGCAACGGCACAGGCGCGCGCCCGTCCTCTGCGCAAGAAGCGGCGCCGGTGGGCGAAGATGCCAACCGAGAAAAGGACCAAACGGTGGGGGGGGGGGAAGGGAGGATCTGTCGCCCTTCGAAAAAGCTGGGGAAGGTTTCCTTGTGGTCCTCTTAACCACCGTCCCCAGATCTTGAGCCTTGCTCCGAGCCGGGACTTGCACACGCACACACACACCCTATTGTCATGAACGTTGGACATGCGTACTTTGCGCATCGCATCATCTCCGTGCGGTGGGGTTGAAAGGGTTAAAAGCCCGGGGCTGGAAGGAGCGCGCGCTCCTTCCCATTCAAGTCGAAGGGGCTCCTCCGACGGGGAGGCGTGGCATCTTCCTCCGCTCGAAGGGGCGGGGGGGTCGCTCCGCCTCTGGGAGCCACGTGCACTTTGCGCTGGGGGGGAGGGAGGGAAGAGGAGGAGGAGGAGGAGGAGCCTCCGGATGGAGTAAAAGGAGCGGGACCGTTGGAGAGGCTTTATAGTTCGGCGAAGACAAAGAAGTCCGCGGGCGGGGTGTGTGTGTGTGGGGGGGGTTTGACGGGCTCCTTTTCTGGAATAAAGAAGGAGGGGCTCCGTTTCCCTCGCCCTCCGCGGGGCCCCTCCGGGTTAAAAGTCGTCCCGTCGGTACCTGGTGGATTGCACGCTTGTCTTGCCCCGTCTTTCTTGGGCGTGGGCTACTTGCGGGGGTCTGCAGCAAAAAAACCAAAAAAACAATGCCATGCGCCCGAGGGGGTGGGTAGGTGGGGAGACTAGAATGCAGAGCAAAGTTAAGATCGTTGCGGAGAGAAAGGAGGAGGAGGAGGAGGAAGAATAGAAATGCTTCTTTTGCAGAAAATTACGGAGCCGCCAGGCTTGCCCGAAACAACAACTCAACCCCCGATTTGGCCCCAGGGAGCAAAAGTGTCAGTCGATAAGAAGAGAATCTTTGTGGCTCGGGGTTGATCTGTGGGGTCCTCGGTGCTCTCTGAGCTCTGGTGGCTTCGTTGCGGACGTCTCGTGGCCCAACTAGGTAACATCATCAGTGCCAATGTCAACCTGCAGCTGCTAAAAACAGTGCTTTGCTTTCAGCTGCCTCGCCAGCTGATCAGAGGGAACAGGAGGAGAATGACTGCGATCAGGTTGTGGCAGTGCTGAATGTCTGGATCATCGCACACTTGACTTCGGGCCCGTCCCCTCTCACTCAGCCCAACTCACCTCGCAGGGCTGTTGTGCATAAAATAGGAGGAGGGTGTGTTGGACACGTTCAGTGCCTTGTGTGTAAAAGGAACAAAGGCAGGAACTGAAATAAACCGGGTAAAACAAGATTAACTAATCTATGCTTCTCGGAGCCACAGTTTTTCCAGTCTGACATTAAAAATGGAATGGGTTTGCTATAGAATGAAAAGGCACCAATCATCCATCTAATCATCATAAAGATGAAGGTAAAGGCCCCACTAAAGTGGTACCTATTTATCTACTCACATTTGCAAGCTTTCAACCTGCTAGGTGGGCGGGAGCTGAGGCAAGGGACGGGAGCTCACCCCACTGCGCAATGCTCAGGTCTGGAACCCGGGCTGTCAGTTTCCCCGCTGAACGAGCTCACCATCCTTGACCTTCGAGCCATCTCTCACACACACCCAATAATCATAAGACTCCACTATTGATAACAACCGTCATCGTGTCATCTCCTATTCAGACATAAATTTCAAGCCTTAGAAGAAAACATTTGGCTCTCAAGTTGCTTCCTACCATACATAAATTAGAGTCCACGTAAGGCAGTGGTTCTCAACCTGTGGGTCAGGTCCCCATTTGGGGTCGATCGACCATTTCATGGGGGTCACCAAGCAAGGCTGTCCGCCATTTTTTTTGTCCACCATTTTTTCCCCTTTTCCGGCGGGTGCCTTACCTCCCTTGGGCTGGGCCAGCTGGTGGTTGGCCTGCTCCGTCTCTGCCGCTTGCCAGCTACGCCTCGGCCGGCGCAGGGGGCGGAACCACACATGCGTGGTGCTCCCGGGCAGGGAAAGTCCTCGACTTACGACCGGTTGGGTAGTCCTCGACTTACGACCGGTTTAGTCCTCGACTTACGACCGGTTTAGTCCTCGACTTACAACCGGTTGGGGTCGCGGCATTAAAAAGGTTGAGAACCACTGACGTAAGGGGATGATAAAAGGCTTTAGCAGCCCTGAAATCCTAGCTAATTTTTATAATCATCTTTATAATGTAG